CTGCAGTGGTTGTTTTGTCTTTCTACTGAGCAGGCAATAAATTAAAAGCAGGAATCAATCAGCATTCTGTAGTGTTGCTCAGATCATTTATGACACACGTCTACCCAGATCTACTGGTTTCAGTTGCACTCTCAGATAAATAGACATAAGGCTTTCAGCTTCAAAGTCACAGTCCAATGTAGACCGACAGTTGTATATCCCAGTGTATTCTGGTTGAGGACACATGCATGAGATTTGGCTGCACTGGGGATAGTTGTGTCTCCCAGTCTGATATCTGCTAATTTGCAACAGTATGTCCGAAATTCACACTGAGGGCCCTTCCACACAGCTCTATATCCCAGAATATCAAGGCAGAAAATCTCACATTATCTGCCTTGATATTCTGGGATATAGGGCTGTGTGGAAAGGCCCTGAAACAGCCTAAAGGGAGTTTATAGGTGTCTTTGGCTGAATCCACATGGGAACTATTTCCCAGCTCCAGTGCACAGTATCCACCTCAAGTTTGACTGTCAACATAGTCATTCATTTTAATCCAAACTCAAATTTGTCTTGAAAGTTGCACAGTTCCCCCACTCTGAAGTCATATCAATACAAAAGAGCATTTCTACCATGTTCATGTGTCCGCTGTATAAGATTATGTCATACTGTATGATCACAGAGGCTGTGATTTTTTTTCTTCATGGCATGCATACAGATATGCATGTATCTACATATTCATATAAACTGATTGCATTTCTTCCTTTTCTCTCATTCTTACCATTTACATCCATTCCCATGAGATGGTTTATATATGGCTTCCTTTCCCCTCTGAGACTCAACCTCTCTCATTCAGTTTAGATCATAAGATTTAAAATTCCCCACATGCTCTCCCCTCAAAATTCTTACGGAATGCAACAGCTAGTTGGCAAACTTATTGTCCCCAATCCAAAAAAAAAAAAAACCCACTACACCCCAATCACCCCAAGTTTTTTTAATCTATTTCCTGCTGGATAATAAAAAATCTATTCCCTATTAAGTCTTTAATCACCTGTTTTCTGACCTGGACGTAAGTGTACCACTTGACCCAATTGGATTTACTTCTGGTTAGGAATGTATAAAGGTGTATTGATAAGGAATATAAGGAACAGTAGGCCACAGATATTAGGCATTCATGTATTCCTTGAAGCCATTTTCTGGGCATAAATGCCTGTGACAGTGAATTTCACTTCCCTCCAAGTAGTGGGTTTAAAAATGCAACCTGATCCAAGGCATCTTTACTTGAATCTATGATTAAATTCCCACTGAGATAAATAAAATGTAACACACACACACACACACTTGGCAAGTATACATAAACTGAATGTAAAATAAAATGACATCACACTTGCTAGATGAGGATGAGAAGCTAAAGAGGTTCTGGCACAGCAATCCTAATCAAGTTTACTTTTTTTCGTGTCAGGAGCAACTTGAGAAACTGCAAGTTGCTTCTGCTGTGAGAGAATTGTCCACCTGCAAGGACACTGTTCAGGGGACGCCCAGATGTTTTACCATCCTGTGGGAGGCTTCTCTCATGTCCCTGCATGGGGAGCTGGAGCTGACAAACGGAAGCCCATCCGCGCTCTCCCTGGATTCAAACCATCAACCTTTTGGTCAGCAGTCCTGCCAACACAAGTGTTTAACTCATTGCACTACCAGGGGCTACATCAAGTTTACTTAAAAGTAAATAATTTAAAAAATGTGTCATGTTGAACGTGATGGTAAGTGTTCAGCACTGTTTTTGAATGATGCATCTCCATCTCATCCATTCTCAAAGACTTGTTAAAATGCGAAAGGGGGGATCATTGGCATTTCTGGGCTGACAATGAGCATTCTTGCTGAAATATGATTGATGTTAAGCACTGCAATATTTTCTCCTTCCACTCTTAAGTGCCTGTGGAAAGATCATACTTCAAACCTGCCTTCTCTTTGGTTGATGGGTCTTGCTTCCTCCGCGTCTCTCAGCTGGCAACCCACCTGCTGGCTTGGCAACGGGACAGATCACTTTCGTCTCTAGGCCTACAGAGTGAAACCGATCCTATTTCTAATGAGAGGTGACCTCGGGTTGCCCTCTTCCATTGAAGGCCTGAAACCGAGCCAAGTGGGCTAAGCATAGCTTGCAAAAAAAAAAATGGTTGCTAATCACAGACGAGCCTTAGAAAAAGGGCACCACCAACCATGGCATTTTGCTTGGTCTGAAGGAAAGAAAACAATAGAAAAATGAACTCCACCCCTCATTACACATTAAACCAAAGAGAGCAAGTGCTTCCCATGCACAGTACAATTTGTGCCAGTTTGTGGAGGGGGCCCTCGCGGTGATGGCTCAAAGGAAGAGTCAGGACTTCACACAAACCTGCAATTCCACCACAATCACATTATCTTTTATAGTAAATACAGTAGAGTTTTTTAAAGGAGGCACCCTCTTACAGTAAAGTATATGGTAGACTCCTGCAGAAGTGAGAGGATCCCTCTTGTCCTTTGCTGAAGGTAGCATTCAGCAAAGGACAATTTCAACAGACAGGAGGAAACCATGAAAATGAACAAAATCTGGCTAGCAGTACAAAAAAAAACTAAAAAAATAGGACAGTAAATAAAGACCAACACTCAGAAAACAATGGAATTCCAGATATGAAACAATCAGGGCCAGCTAACACCTCCCAACAAAGGATTCCCCCAGACATGAAGCAGCCAGGCTTCAAAGTTGCAAGGCTATTCAATGCTAATCAAGCTGGCCAATTGCAACATTCACACTTGCTCCAGAAGCATTATGTCCTGTTGTTTTGCCCACATTTATGGCAGGCATCCTCAAGAGGTTGTGGGGTTTATATAACTGTGGAAGTCCAGGGTGGGAGAAAGAACTCTTGTCTGTTGAAGGCAAATGTGAATATTGCAACTGATTAGCACTTGATTAGCACTGAATAGCCTTCCAGCTTCAAAACCTGGCTGGTTGCTGCGTGGGGGAACCGTTTGTTGGGAGGTGATTAGCTGGCCCTGATTGTTTCTTGTCTGGATTTCCCCTGCTTTTTTAGAGTTCTTCTTTATTTGGTTTTAGAGCTTTTTTATAATACTAGTAGTCAGATTTTGTTGATTTTCATGGTCTCCTTCTTTCTGTTGAAATTGTCCACATGCTTGTGGATTTCAGTGGCTTCTCTGTGTAGCCTGATATGGTGGTTGTTAGAATTGTCATAGGCCCAGCGCGCGACAGCATAAAAACATTTATATTCCACCCTTCTCACCCCGAAGGGGACTCAGGGCGGAGCACAGCATATATACTGTGAAACGCCCTGCCTGCAGATATCAGATCGGCCCCCTCCCCGCTGGCGTTTCGGAGGAAAGTGAAGACCTGGCTGTTTGAACAAGCATTTGATTAAACAGTGTAATTGAACATAGGAATACGGAATAATGAATGATGAGACTGGATTCTGATTTTACTGTTGAGGTGCTAATGGTTGTTATACGGATGTTTAATGATTTATGTTACAATTGTTTTTAATTGCCCTATACTTGTCTCGAGATGTTTTGTATTGATGTTGTTTTTATTTATTTTATTTATTTCGGTTACTTCTACCCCGCCCTTCTCACCCCGGAGGGGACTCAGGGCAGCTTACAAAGGCACAATTCAATGCCGGCATCAACATAACAGTAGAATAAAAACAATATAGCAGCAATTAGACAATTAACAATTAGTTTCTGCACTGCAACAATAAAACCAATAAAACCGATTTCATCTAATTAACGCTCAGCGTTCGCCATCTCATAGTCCAAATTCCAATTCCACTTTGTCAGTCCTGCCAGTCCTAGTTGTCCAATTGTCTTTATCTAGTTGTCAGATTGCCCGAAGGCCTGGTCCCACAACCACGTTTTTAATTTCCTCCTGAAGGAGAGGAGGGATGTTGATGACCTGATTTCCCCCAGGAGTGAGTTCCACAGGTGAGGGGCCACCACTGAGAAGGCCCTGCTCCTCGTCCCCACCAACCTCACTTGTGATAGCGGTGGGGTTGAGAGCAGGGCCTCCCCGGATGATCTCAAACTCCGAGGTGGGACGTAGAGGGAGATGCGTTCGGACAGAGTTGCCTGAGGGCTGAGAAAAGTGGTATATAAATAAAGTAAATAAATAATAAATATACGGAAAACATTAAATGCTGGGACACAAATTCACATACAATACATAAACATTAAAAAATATTTATCAAAATATTAAAATGCACACTTTAAAACCGTCCTAGCCATCTGCATCAAATCCAATTGGCCCTGTCATCTTTCCCACTGCCGCTTCATTGCCCTGTCTCGAAAGCTTGGTCTCACAGCCAAGTTTTTACCATCCTTCTAAAGGACAGGAAGGAGGGGCCCGACCTGATCTCACCAGGAAGGGAGTTCCATAGCCGGGGAGCAATCACCGAGAAGGCCCCGTCTCTCGTGCCTGTGACAATGGTGGGACGGAAAGCAGGGCCTCCCTGGAGGATCTTAATCTCTGCGATGGTTCATAGGGGGAGATGCGTTCGGACAGGTAATGTGGGCAATGCCATTCAATGCTAATCAAGATGGCCAATTGCAACATTCACACTTGCTTCCAACAGACAAGAGTTCTTTCTCCCATCTATGACATTCCACAGATATATAAACCCCAATTGCCTAGTTTCCAACAAACCTCCCAACCTCTGAGGATTCCTGCCATAGATGTGGGCGGAATGTCAGGAGAGAATGCTTCTGGAACATGGCCATACAGCCCGGAAAACGCACAGCAGCCCAGTGATTGCCGAAGCTTGACAAGATGTTCTTAGTGGTGGCTGTTGTTGTTTCCCTAAAGCATTTCCCCCTTTGCAGCCCCATTTGGCCAGAGGAAGAGGAGGAGGAGGAGACTGGCGCCTCCTCTGGCCCCATCCTCGGCGGGAGGGAGAGCCCAGGCAGCAGGCAGGTACTCTCTCTCTCTCTGGCTCTCTCTCTCTCTCTGCGCCCGCCTCCTCCTCCTCCTCGCCGCCGCCGGAGCGAAGTTTTCCCTCCCCTTTCGGCTCATGGAAGGAGGCTCCGCGCCCGGCGGGGGTCTGCCAAGGAGAAAGGCTCGCCCGCCGCCAGCCTCATGGCTTCTTCAGCCGCGAGCGCGGCCCCCGCTCCCTCTCCTCCTCCGGGGGCCGAGGGGGCTCGCGACGAAGGCGGGCGGGAAATGCACTCCAAGATGTGCAAGAAGATCGCCCAGCTCACCAAGGTGGGTCGCGAGCTCTGTGTGTGTGTGTATGAGCGCGCGCGGGGAGAAACTTCCTCGAGGACAGGTGGGCGCGAGGCGCTTCCCCAGGACAGCGGGGGCGGGCCCCTTGCGTAACAACATCCAGCGCGAGCCTTGTCCGGATTCGCGCCCTCCCCGCTCCCTCTCTTTTGCACCCTTTTCCCAATGAGGAGGGACCCCCGCCCACAGCAGAAAAGGAGCAAGTGAGCGTGCCCGTTTAGGACTCCCCAGTCTCGTGCCCTCTTTGGAGGCGCGCGCGGGATGTTTTGACTGACAGGGCTTGTCGCTGAAGGGACTTTTTGGCCTCATTGAAAAGGCTCAAGGAGGGCAGGACGGAGGGCACGCACACCTGTCGCTCCTCCTTAGCCCCTCAGTTTAGGGAAAGGCCTCCCAACAGACATCTCCAAGCATTGTCTCAGGACCCTTCCACACAGCTCTATATCCCAGAATATCAAGGCAGGAAATCCCACATTATCTGAGTGTGGACTCAGATAATCCAGCTCAAAGCAGATATTGTGGGATCTTCTGCCTTGATATTTTGGGATATAAGGCTGTGTGGAAGGGCCCTCTGAGGGTAGGTTCTGAACTTGAATCTGTGGCCCCTTCCACACAACTGTATGAAATCCCACATTATCTGCTTTGAACTGGATTATATAGCATTGTGGACTCAGTGACTGGATTGACAGGTTAAACCCCTGTGCCGGCAGGACTGAAGACCGACAGGTTGCAGGTTCGAATCCGGGGAGAGCGCAGATGAGCTCCCTCTGTCAGCTCCAACTCCTCATGCGGGGACATCAGAGAAGCCTCCCACAAGGATGGTAAAACAGCAAAACATCCGGGCGTCCCCTGGGCATCGTCCTTGCAAACGGCCAATTCTCTCACACTAGAAGCGACTTGTAGTTCCTTAAGTCGCTTCTTACACAACAACAACAAAAAACGCTAGGGGTGGTGACGGCTGACAGGGAGCTCTGTCGTGGGCTGGGCCAGGAGGTCACGAAGAGTCGGAAGCAACTGAACAAATGAACAACAAAGTGAACTCAGATAACTCATGGCCCTTCCACACAGCCAAATAACTCAGAATATCAAGGCAAACAATCCCACAATATCTGTTTTGAGCTGAGTTATCTGAGTCCACACTGCCACATAGTCCAGTTCAAAGCAGATAATCTGGGATGTTATGCAGCTGTGTGGAAGGAGCTTCAGGTAACCCAGTTCAAAGCAGATAGTGTAGTGAGTTGCTGTGAGTTTTCTGGGCTGTATGGCCATGTTCCAGAAGCATTCTCTCCTAAGTTTTGCCCACGTCTATGGTAGGCATCCTCAGAGGTTGTGAGGTTTATTGGAAACTAGGCAAGTGAGGTTTATATATCTGTGGAATATCCCAGATGGGAGAAAGAACTCTTGTCTATTGGAAGCAAGTGTGAATGTTGCAATTGGCCATCTTGATTAGCATTGAATGGCCTTGCAGCTCCAAAGCTTGGCTGCTTCCTTCTTGGAAGCATCCTTTGTTGGGAGGTGTTAGCTGGCCCTGATTTTTTCCTCTCTGGAATCTCCCTATTTTTTTAGCGTTGCTCTTTATTTACTGTCCTGATTTTGGAGATTTTTTAATACTGATTTTTTTTAATACTGATAGCCAGATATATATACACACACATCGTATATATATATATCCGTGCGTGTATCTTATCCCTTCCCAGTGCTATACATTTCCTAAGCTTTGGTTAGCATAGAGAAGGGATAACACACACACACACACACACACTTTGAATCACAGAGTGGAAGAGACCACATGGGCCATCTAGTCCAACCCCCCACCATACAGGAAAAGCATAAACAACCCCAGACAGATGGCCATCCAGCCTCTGTTTAAAAGCTTTCAAGGAAGGAACTTCCACTCCATGGCAGAGAGTTCCACTGCTGAACATCTCTTACAGTCAGAAAGTTCTTCCTAAGGTATAACACTCTGGCTAGGCTGGCTTTTAAATTGTTATAATCTGATGTTGTGAATTGTTTAATTTTAACTTAATGTTGTATAATGCTTGGTGTCGTCATTTAATTTTAATGATTTTCTGTTTAAATTTTTACGGTTACTGTCTTTTGATATTGGCATTGATTGTTTGCCTTTGTTTGTGTTTCTCCTGAGTCCTCACAGGGAGATAGGGTGGGATACAAATAAAGTTTTATTTTATTATTATTATGTTCAGGTGGAATCTCGTTTCCTGTAATTCGAATCCATTACTCCGAGTCCTATTTTCTAGAGCAGCAGAAAACAGGCTTGCCCCCTCTTCCTTATGACACCCTTTCACATATACATGGCTATCATGTCTCCTCTCAACCTTCCCTTTTGCAGGCTAAACATGCCTAGTTCTTTTAAGGCACTTCTCTTGGGGATTCATGATCTTTAGACCGTTGATCATTTTAGGTGCTTTAAAGCCTCCAAAGAAGGAGTCTCCACCTCACTCTAGGGCAGAGAGTTCCACTGCTGAACAGCTCTCACAGTCAGGAAGTTGTTCCTCATGTTCAGGTGGAATCTCCTTTCCTGTAGTTTGAAGCCATTGTTCCACGTCCTAGTCTCCAGGGAAGTGGAAAACAAGCTCACTCCCTCCTCCCTATGACTTCCCCTTGCATATTGATACATGGCCATCATGTCTCCTCTCAGCCTTCTCTTCTTCGGGTTAAACATGTCCAGCTCTTTAAATCACTCCTCATGGGGCTTGTTCTCCAGACCCTTGATCATTTTAGTCACCCTCTTTTGAACACATTCCAGCTTGTCAACATTTCTCTTAAATTGCAGTGCCAAGAATAGGACACCATATTCCAGGTGTGGTCTGACCAAGGCAGAATCCTGCTAAGATTTCATTCCTAAAAATCAGACCAAAGTATATTAGACTTTTATACTACTTTGTTGTTCATATGTCATCAGTTACTTTTTTCATCACAACTGCATCCGTATTCTGGAGATTCAGCCTACAACTCAGAGCCAACAGAGGTCTTTAGTTTACACACTGCATACAATTTAATTGCAGCATACATAATTTAGCAGCATATTATTGCTGCTTTTATGTCCCACAAGGTTTCCCCGACATCTTTTTAGTAGTGTGACTTGATTGTTTGTATGTCGCACCTGCCTTTTCATTGCCTAAAAAAAGAATATGTATGTATACACATATAAACAGTGATCTCAATTTCTATATATGTACTTCCTCCAACACAAATCAGTCCCTTTTTAAATGCTTTTTAAATCTTTGAGTTATTGTTTTGACATGAATATACAAAACAAGAGAGCTATGTAAATGCTTATTGTTAAGGGATTTCAACATTACAGACTTCTACAGACTTGTGATCTTCACTCATCCCTAAATAATAACAAACCATGTGCTTTATGAGAGCTTACTGCACAGCGAATGCAGATTTATATCCTTGCCCACATGTGAGCCTTTGTGCTGTTACCAATGTATACTTATGTGTTTTGTAATAGTTCTATTTGCATGAATACACAGCTTCACACATGAACAAATCTTGATTCTACAGGACTAAATGGACAAAATCACTACAAGTTTAGAGTTTCTTCTCTATCCATAATGCATGCAAAATTGACGTAAATGCTTTAAAAATGTCTTGTGCAAACCCTGTTACGATCCCAAGGTTTTCCATATGTTCATCTTCATCATTTGCATTGAGCTACAGTTCCAGTACACTATTTGATTTCTGTTACCTGTACTGAAATCCTCTGAGAGACTGGGGATGGGGGTAGAAATCCTTCTTTGAACTGCAGTTATGGCATGTTTATTTTGAAAAAAGTCATACTGAATTCAGTTCAGTGTTCTCACAAAAATACATATTTGGACTGCAGTCCAAATTAATCTGGGGTGCCATCCTCATTGCCCAATTTATGAACTGTGCATCTGTGAAATGTCTTACTTCTAGCACTGTTTAAAATACAAAATTTCATATTTATACAGCATAGTGAGCCCTTCACAATTGCTGAGGTTAGGAATGAAGGACCCCTCCAAAAGTGAATTAAAAAATACCTTTTTTTGCTTGAGAGATCATTTCTCTCAGAATGTCTAGTTCCTCCAGTGCGGTTCTTTGTTTCATGTACACTGGAGGCTGATCATAGAGGGTGCACCTACATTGGCCATTCACTCAGGGGCTGATTTGGAGTGCAGTGCTTTTGGCCAACCACAGGGGAGTCCACATGGCCAGGCTTTGTGCCACAGCAGATGCAAATGGGAATCCACACCATCCAGTGGCACTGAGTCCAGTTCAGCACCGCTAGACCTTTACTGTTGATGCCCTGTTGCTGTCATAGCACAAAATTGCTTCTGGTTATCATGCATCGCCATTGTTGACACATGCAAACATGCCAACAGGACTTGGAAAGGTGCTTTGGAAAGCACCAGCAATGGTAATGAGCAACAATCAGGAGCAATTCCACACTCCATGGTTGCCACTACTATGGCTACAGGACAATAATTGTAATTGTCATCCCCTGTTTCCAGGCTATTTGAACCCAGGGAAAGTGGGATAACTGTGTAAACACCAGTGACCATTTCTGAATCAAAACTGGGCCCTACTGTTGACACATGGCCAAAGTGCAGGGAAGCTCTGGGGCATTCTCTTACTTTAGCTAACACAAGGCAAGGCTGCATTAAGTTTCCTTACCTGGCGTGTGGAGCAAGTTGGCTCTGTGCACCATTCACCCTGTTTCATTTGGCCCATGGTGATGGGTCCAGAGTTATGCTGAAATGACATAAGAGATTTCTAGAGCATTGTTACCTCCAGGAATCTCTTAATTGTTCTACTACCACTATATGGCTATGACTCTACTACCACTATATGGCTATGAGATTCCTGGAAAGGATATATTAATCAAACCTGCAAAAGTTAAACCTGCAAATGTAGAGTGCCAACTATATTGCAATTTTAAAATTTCACAGTTAGTCCCTATAACTGAATTTAATTTTGACAGTTATATATTTTGC